TTCCAGGCCCCCAGGGAGGACGACCTCAGCAGGGTGGGCTGGAGGACCCCGTGGTGGTGCTGACCCCACGGGCCTGGGGCAGGGCTGGAGGCACCTGGGTGAGGGGCATTTCCTAATTGTCACGGAAACCCGGGGTGGGCCCACGGGGGCTGCTGCTCAGGAGGCCGTGGGGACAGTGGGGACTGCCTGAGTCTGAGGCCCTGGACTTGGAAGTGGACTCCTGGGATGAGCCCCCGAGAAGGGGAGGAAAAGTGACTCAGGCTGTCACACTTGCTGGGAGCAAGGACCTGGGCTGTGAGGCTTACGTGTGTTATCTCGTTTAATCTTAACAATGACTACTGCCCCCATTCTACAGCTGGGGAGACTGAGTTTCAGAGAGGGAGAGTTTCCTGCTCAGGGTCACACAGCGAGTCTGCAGCAGAGCCAGGATTGGACCCCAGATCTATTACCTGCCGAAGCCTGGTTCTTAGTTCCCCCCACAGGGTCTTCCTGAAAAGGAAGGTGACAGTGGCAGTGGGGGGGTCTCTGTTTTGGCTTCTTGCCAGGGTGTAGAGCAATGGCTCTAGGTAGCAACGTTCTCTGTCCTGGCGGGCCGTCTGCAGACAGCACAGTCATGAGATGTGCACCTGCTGTGTGCCTGGGGCTCCCTGGTCTGGGGTGGAGGGACCCCCAGGGAAGCAGGCGCGGGAGCCACCACATAGCCCCGCCTGGTGGAGCCCTGGGTTGGATTGGATAACGCAGGGGAGGCCGCTGCCAGATAGCAGGAGGGGTCGGCACACTGAGTGCTGCACCGGAGCTGGGTTTGAAGCGCATGAAAATCAGGCTGCTGCCTGGAAAAATAGTACATCAGTGCCGACAAGTGGGCTGCACTGCCCTGGAACCCTGTGTCCAGGCCCCAAGTCCCCCAGCACAGCATGGGAAGAGGTGAAGCTGGACGAGTTCTCCCCCAACACACAGAATCTCCCCCCCACCCACAGAATCTCCCCCCCACCCACAGAACCTGGAGACCTGGCGCCTCCTCCCAAGGGGTCCTCTCGTTGGCTCCTGGGTTTCTTGTCCTATAAATCGGGCCTGCTGCCCGCCGTGCAGGGTCTTCCAGTGTCCCCATCCGACTGCTCCTGGGTCCCAGCTGGCGTGCACCTGTGTCCGCCACCTTCATGCCATGACCCCGGAGCATCAGGTCTGCCCCCTTCCCGACCACGTGTCCTGTCCCCACGCGGCCGTACGCACAGCTACGCACGCGGGCACTTTTCAGAGGCCATGGTTTTACAGCAGATTCTCAAGGAAGCTCCGCGGACAAGGACCAGAGGCTGATTTATTGATCCCAGAGCTGCGTTCAGGCTGCGCCTTCTCCCTGAAGCAGTGACAATGGCAGCCCCCAAGCCCAGCTCAGGGCAGGTGTCCAGGAACCACCCAATGGATGGGGGGCGGAGAGCAAGGCGTGGTTTGGCGTAAGAATTGTGCCCCCCTCTGCTCTTTGTTCGGGGGGTTGGGCTCAGCCACTCCCTTAGGGTGCCGTGTTTTGGGGCCTTCTTCCTCTAGCGGGGGACCCCCCTAGCCTCTGGCACTGGCGCTGTCATCGTCCTGCCCACACACGGCCGTGCCGGCCAGGCAGCCGGATGCTCACGTTGACCTCAGGGTGGGAGGCGTAATTTGGTGGAACCTTGAAGCAGTGGCTTGAGCCTCTCATCCCTGCCCCCCGCCCCCCCGGAGGACGGGGTGCTGGGGTGGATTTGACGCAGCCTGACGCATGGACTCTGTTGGGGATATCTTGGCACGTGGCAGCTTTTCTGCTTCCGGCTTGGGCATCCCTGTAATTCCCTCAGTGGTGCGAGTGGGAAACTTGGCTTCCCAGAAGCGGAGCACGAGGAAATGCGTCCTCAGGAAGGGTCTGATGGGATAAGAGGAACCCAGCCCCGCCCTGACCCCCGGCCCCCCCGCCCTGAGGACCCGGATGGCCTCACTCTGGTGTCTGGCCCACGGGCATTTCTGTGCCGTTCTGCATACTTGATTCTCATCCCCTCCTCTTCAAGAACAAATGAGCTCCACCATGAACGTCTGGATCTCTGGTCTAACCGGGGAGGGGGGCATTGATGGCGGGGGTGGCAGATGCTGCGCGGTGGGGTCTGGATGATCAGCGGGTGCCTGAGACGGGAGGGTGGAGCCAGGCCTTGTTGCAAGTGACCCGGGAGTCACACCTGCTCCAGCCCCTCTCGGGCTTGAAGTTACAGCTGGAACGTGGCCCCAGAAATGCCCTCTGTGCCAATGCGTCTCCTCGGGGTTAAGTCAGGGTCAGGGTTGTGAAGTCACAGCTCAGGGCTGACTCGGGTACCTCTGCGTGGATCCTCATGAGCGCTTCTGGAAAATGCTTCCTTGTATCTAATTGGAGGCTGCCACTTGTTGTTTTGGAATATCTTGAGAATAGCTTGAGAATATCTACGATCCATTTATCTGTGCACCCATCCATTCCCCAACGAATCCACCCCCGCTGAACCTGTCCTCCTGGCCACCCATCCATCCTTCCACCCCCGTGCCCCCACCCACTCACTCATTCATCTGTCCATCAACCCACAAATCCCATCCCTCTCCCACCGACCTGTTCTCCCACCCACCCATCCATCCATCTGTCCATCCGTCTGTCCATCTGTCCATCCATCTATCCAACCATTCATCCACCCACCCACGCATCTGTCTGTCTCTCCATCCATCCATCCATCCATCCATCCATCCATCCATCCATCCATCCGTCCGTCCATCCATGCCTCTCTAATGTCAGGCACCGTGCTAGGCGGAAGTGGACCCAGGCTGAGAGAGTGGTCAAGCTGGTGGAAAGCTGGTCAGGGAGTGGTTTTGGGGGAACGCTCCACTTCTGGGTCCTGCAGTCACGTCTCAGCCTGGCCTGAGATTTCCTGTGATCAGTAGGGTGGGGGCCGGAACCTTCGGCAGTCGGGGTGACTGACGTTCGACTGACTTTGAAGAAACCAGAGCTCGGTTCCAGCACCCCGTCAACCACGTGGGATCTGGGTCGGCTTCCGGTTCTCCTGTATCGTGGGAGTGGTTTCCTGGCTGGAACCGTGGCTGGTCAGTGAGGGTCCCTCGTCTGCTGAGGGCCAGGGCGTCTTGATGGCTTGCAGCTCTCCCTGTGACCCGAAGACACACGTCTGTCCTCCTTCCTTCTTGCCACATGATGCCCAGTGGGGGATGCCATTGTCACGGTGATGCGAGGAAGCGGGGGAGAGCCACAGGGAGGAGGGGGAGCCCACCACAGAGAGGTCAGGCTGGGCTATGCCATGAGCTACCGCCATGAAGCCGCAGGTGATGGGGACCCCTGGTCTGGTGGGTCTGCCTTGGGACCTCAGACCCAGGGCCATGCAACTCTGTGACAGAGCTGGGCAGGACCCAGGCTCCAGCTGCTGGCTCAGTGGGCTCCCCAGGACCCCACCCCATGGAGCACAGGCCCCGAGCCTTGGTAGTGGAAGCTACAGGGTCCAGGCGTCCATCCCCACTGGACTGCCCTGCTGAGCACGTCAGCCTGACCCCCAGCAAGGAGGCTGCCAGCCGGGTCTCCTGTGAGATCGTTAATAACAGACTTCCTACCAGAACCCGTGCCCTGGGAGATGGGGAGATGCTCGTTTCAACCAAAGGGGCGTTTTCGTCTCCATGGAGGTGGTTAATTTGGGCCCATTGCTTTCGAACGAGCTGGCAGCTCCCTCTCCCTGGCAGCATTCACCCCCCTCCGGCCCCATCCTCCTGGAGGCTGGCCTCTGTGCCTGGCGTGGGGACCATGCACCCGTCTGCAGGTCCCTGTGGGAGAGGCAGGAGTGGGCGCTTGCACGTGGGTGTGCAGGGCACCCCGGGGAGCCCCGGAGAGTGTGTCGGAAGCCCATTTCCTTGAAGGGCTGCTGCATGGGCTCCCTGTGCTGGTGGTGGGCATGGGGGGGCCAGGTGTGGGTATGGTGCCAACAGCGTGCCCTTCCCATTTCCACCCCCATCGCTTCTTTACCCAGAATGCACTGTTCCGTTCGGGGTGACAGAGCCGGTGGGCTCACCCACCCTCCCCGCGAGCACGTGCCACGTGCAGGCGGGGCTGGGGCCGGTGCCGCGCCTGCATTCCTTCCCGTGAGCCCAGCTGCACCCAGGGCTGTGTCACCTGCAGCTCACGCCCTAACACTCCTCACCTGTACTGGCCAGCCCCCAGCACCTGGGCAGCGTGGGCTGGCTCCACCCCCTTTCCCAGGAGTCAGGCCCAGGTTCACTTTGCAGTAGTGACAGGTGCGGCCCGAGACCCCGCGTTCGCAGGGAGCCCCCTTTTCCTCCCCGTGAGTTCCCCTCCCACAGATTCTGAGCTGCCGGGGTAGACGCCTGTCTGCAGGTGACGACCCTGCCATGCCACCCTCCTCACACCAGCGGGAAGCTTTCTGACTCCTGGGCCCTTCTCTTCCTCCTCCCAGATGCGTCTTTGGGGTGACAGAGTTTGCGGGGACCCTGGGCATCCCCCAATACAGAACTGGGAGATTTTCATGGAAAATAAGGGTCTCAAGTCCAGATAAGTTTGGGGCTCACGGCCCACCCTTTCTGTCTCCTAAAGACAGGTTCCCATGCTCCCCACCGAGGATGCCCAGGGGAGCCCACATCCCCGTGTCTGGGATCCCCCTGGCGTGTGGAAGCAGGATAGTTGCGCGGACGGAAGCTTCCTGCTGTCCCTGACCCGGTTCCCTCGTTTGCCAACAGGGATGCCGTGACCTGGACAGAGGGACCGACTTCCGGTGTCCGGGGCCGAGCTGGGCATGGGGTCCTCATTCTAGGCACGTCCATCTGGGTGGTCCTGCATCACAGCCACATAACGTGCACCCTGTTTCCTTCCACGAGGGAGCGGACAGAAGCCCGCCTGCTCCTGTGCTCGCTCCGGGGGTCCCGTGGTGGACCACAGGCTGGGGGCCCGGCCAGGGCGGCGGTGCCACTGAGACCTGCTCACTCCCCTGACGTCTCCTCTCCCACAGGCCCTTCCCCTCGGAGGAGACCGCGGAGAATGACGATGACGTCTACCGCAGCCTGGAGGAACTGGCAGAGTAAGGAGGCAGGCGGGGGAGGGTAGGGAGCGGGGCTTCACGCGGGCCCCCTCGACGGGCGCTGGTCTCGGCCGTCTGCACGGGCCGTCCCCACGGGGGTGGTGGTGTGGCTCCCCTGCCGGAAGGATGCGCGGTTCTTCACCCCACATTCCAGGAGGCTCCCAGCGTGTCTGCTGGTGACGTGGCTGCGGCCCTCCTCCCCAGGCTCAGGTGTGACGAGGGCTGGCTTTTGCCGGGCTTCTCTGTCGAAGCTGCAGTGGGGCTGGGGAGGTGTCCTAGCTCGGCCCTTGGAGGCTGTGCTGCGGATGGGAGAGAGCTGGCGTTTCCGGAAGCTGGGGCCCCTGGAGCACAGGTTACAGGCAAAGGCAGATGGTGATTCCGGGTTGTCTCGTGGCCTGACACGGGCTGGGGCTGGGCCAAGGCCAGGCCACCTGAAGCCACTGGGGCGTCTCCCCTTCTCCCAAGGCCCCGTCTTTGCCTGCCCCGAGTCCCCCCGATTCCTCTCTCCGAGGATTTCTTGCACCATCTCATGCAGCCTGGGTCCAGCTGCCCCTCCCCGGCCGTTTCACCTTATGGTCCTGGAGCCCCCCAGGGACTGGCAGGAATCCCTGGGCAGCGGTTCTTCCAGAAGAGATGGTTGGGTTCTGTGTGGTCAGCTGTGGCCGGGGGTGGGGTCACGTGGCCTGCTGCTCGGAGAAGGGGCGGCGGCGTGGAGCTGGCAGGGCCGCCCTATCCTGCAGGGGGGGGACCGAGGCCCGGGAGATGATGGGCTTGCCCAGGCTGTGGGGTTGTCCCACGTGGTCCTGACCTGGCAGGCCCACGACCCTCTTCCCCGGATTCCTGCCCCTGGGGGCCTCTTTCCTGTCTTTGTTCCCGGATAAACGGCCGTTCCTTCTGGGAAGACTCGTGGCCTCTCTCTCCTTCGTCTTACAGCACAGACTGGGAATAAGAATCATAATCAGAGTAAGAGCCGGGATTTGCTGTGCACTCGCTGTTCAAAGCCCCCGGCTTGTTCCACGCCCCCGTCCAGGCTGCTTCTAGGATATGGGATATTCTTTGCAGGATCTCTGTCCGTTTAAATAATTGGAGTCATTGAAGAATCAGCCTGTGGGCAGCAAGCTGGCGGCCCAACATTATGTGATCTGTGAGTGAAACACTCACTGGCCAGTGGGCATAGCTGCCACCAGCCCATCTTCCGGAAACTGGGCTGACCCCAGTGTGAATGGTGGCGATCCTCGGGACACCTGGTCGACCCCATGTGGGTCCGAGGGTGGAGAGCACCCTGAGGGGGTAAATGGGGCCCAGGGTCCACACGAGTCCCAACCAGGGCCTGGGGCTCCCTACCTGGGTGCTACTGCCCAGTCCCAGGAATCAGAGGGGGACCTGGAAATTTCGAGAAAGGTGCACTCCAACCCACGGGGCCTCCCGAGGCGCGGGGCTGCATGAGTGGCTGCCCACCTTCCCCCACCCCCTGTAAGGGGTGAGGAAGCCGAGGCTCAGAGAGGCACGGCCGGAGGGAGGCCCCCAGGGGTCCCCCCCCCCGTCTGCAGCCCCCTTGCTGGCTGAGCTCCGCGCTGGGGCTGCTTCCCGCCCGCCCTCCTGGCATTTTCCGCCGTGGAGAGCCTCTCCCTGTCTGCCAAGTCCGGGCCGAAGCGCCCCCCACTTTGGGAAGCCTCTCACCCTCCGTCCATCCGCCCGCCCAGCCAGCATCCTCACTCACACCCCACGCATCACAGAGCACCCACACCCCTGTGTGGCCTTTGGGGTGTTTGTGGGGTGCACTGTGATAGACCGGAAGGTTCCCGAGGTCAGTCCCTGCATCTCCATGTCACCGTCCCCCCAGCAGCTGGCACCCCGTGCCCTCGGCCTAACAGCGCATCCCAAGCGATAATGTTCATCTCCTTCTGTGCCCCACTCCGCCCCACAGTCTCCTCCTGAGGGGTGTTCTAGGGGCGCCCCCGCTTTACAGATAAGGAAACTGAGGCCTCGGGAGGGAAGCTACTGGCCCACGTCACTCAGCGAGGGAGCGGCAGAGCTGCCGTCTTACCCCGAGCCTGTACCCTCACCTCCCCACCATGCAAAGTCAGTGCCCCCCCCCCAGGGTCCGGGGAGCCCCTTGCCCAGTGCTGAGTGCCGGGCCCTGATCTGCCATTTCTCCCGAGTCACCCCCAAGCTGAGGCTGGGGGTCTCTGCCCTCCCGAGACATGCACGAGGGGTCAGCAGAGGCTGAGGGTTCCAGGATGATGGGGCCCACGGCGCCCTCGTGCGGCTTCCTCTGTACCAGCCAGGCCCCCCGCTTAGCCCGTCCCAATGGCTCTTTCACGTTCAGTTTGGAGGATTCCTGGGCGGTGAGTTGGCCAGCGAGCCCGGGTGCCCATTTTCCCCTTTCTCGGTCTATTCTGCCTGTGTCTGACCTCTCACAGGATGGAATTCCTCTCGCACGGAGAATCCAGCCTGGGGGATGTGCGGCTTTGCACACAGTTCAATAATATTATTCCATGACATTAAGAGAGAGCCTCCTTAATCCAATGAGTTCCTCATGGCTGCAGTTATTGCAAACGTAAATCATACATTAATAGGGGAGGGGAATGAATTTGAGTCTTGAAGTTGCGGTTTCGTCCCAGAGGCTCCAGGTTAATAAATTTTTCATGCTTTTTTCCCCCTTCTCCTTTTACTGAAAATCAAGATTTCCTAGAGTCCTGTCTCTGCGGACCTGGGATTCATATTTATCCATCATGGCAGTTTACAAGACACAAACAGAAATGTCATTTCTTCCCTGGCCTCCCCGGGGCAGGGAACGGGGCACTGGCCCGGATCTGAAGCCAGGCAGCGCCAGGGAGCCGGGGAGTGACGTTTCGAGCAGAACCGGCTAATTCTTTCCTTTGGGCTCTGGCCAGGTGTCAGAAAGGATGATCACCTCGCGTTTCTAAGGGGCCCCTCGACGCTCCGCAGCTGTTTGGGGAAAGGCGAGCCTGGTGGGGGGTCTGGGCACCAGTGGGGGACCGCCAGCTGTGCGTGGCCCCGAGAACGCCTTCTCCGTTCAGTCAGTCGATCAGTCATGGATTTGTTCAGCCACCAGCTGGTTACTGTGCACTTTCTGGAAATGGGCAGCGGGAGTGGGGAGTGGGGAGCGTGCTGGGTTGCGAGGGGCGAGTGTGGGCATTGCTGGAGGAGAGATGTGGCTCTCCCACGTGGGCCCCTCAGAATCCTCGCTAGAGGCGCCGTTCCTACCAGGCGTGTCTTCAGAGCCCCCCAGTGTCACCCTGGCGGGTCATTGAGGGCCCTGCAGCCTCAGCCCCCGAGACGCCACTCCACACTGAGAGCCCCCTTCCACCCACCTAAAGCAGGGGCACCGACCGGGCTGCACAGGAGCCTCTGCCTTGTTCCCAAAGCAGCCAAGGGCGTCTCTGGGCAGACCTGGGGCCTCGGCCCTGGCGTGTCCTACCACGTGGGCTTTGGCAGGTCACCCAGTCTCTGCGCCCCGGCTCCCCTGTGTGTAACACGCGGTGTCGGCTGTCAGCTACACTGCGGTAGCACAGCGCCCAGCGGGCACACCCTGAGCGCCCAGGCAGGGGAAGCGGTTCCCATCCTCCCGGTCTACCAAGGACGTGGCCTTTGTCTCCGGTTTCCAAATGGCCATGGCAGCGCCGTCCAGGAGAAATCATACATGAGCCGCCTGTGCGATTGTTCATTTTCTAGTAGCTGCACCAGAAAGAGAAAAAAGAAACAGGTGAAGTGAATTTTAAGAATGTATTTTTACTGAACCCAGTGTATCATCTGGTTCAACACGTGATCATTAATGAAGTAGCTGACGTTCTCGTGCAGAATGGGAGCCGGGTCCGTCCACTGGCCACGTTTGCGAGCGCGCAGCCACGTGAGGCTTAGGGGCCCCACGTGGGCAGCCCGGGTCTCGGAGCAGCATTCCGCGGACCAGCGCAGAGTCCCCTGCCTTTGAATGGACGATGCTGAACTAAGATGATGCTCTCTAGCGCTCTGAGCTCACTTTTGAGATCCTTGAATAATGTATAATCAGATAATAGAGCAGCTGGTTGAAAAAATTAACACAAAATAGCGCCACTTAAAAAACGCTTCATCAAGCAAACTGAGCCCCACATGAGAGGCCTCTTTTTAAACTGCCCTGACGATTAGTACCTTGCATTTGCCTAATGGCTTGTCCCTCCCGCTACCCCTTGCTTCCTTCCAGGTGCTCCCGGGAACCTGGAGCTGCCCCCCTACCTTCTCATACCTGCCCGACTCCTGGGTGGGCCAGGGTTTAGGAATCTGCACTGGGGGAGCCCCCCACACAGGGGCTGGGAGCCAGATTTGCACACAGAAAAACGACCCTCGTGAGACAGCTCACCATGGGAGTCCAGAGTGGGGCCGGGTGAACGCCAGCTCAGAAATCAGGGAAGGCTTCTCAGAAGAGGTGACCCCTGAGTCTTGGAGCCCAAGTGGGAATCGGCTGAAGGGTGGGGCTGGTGTCCCAGTGGAAGGAGCAGCCTTGCCAAGGCCCGCCCTGGGGAGGCGTGGCAGGTTTGAGACACCGCAAGGTGTTTGCAAGAAAGCAGAATCCTCGAAGCACCCTGGGACGTGCTGGGAAGGACCACCCTCCTCATACCCAGGAAGGCGCGGCCTGCATCAGAAGGCCTGCAGAGACCCCCCAGCTGGGTGTGCTTCAGTGCTGGGGGGCGCCCGGCGTGGAGGGGGCGCCTCAAGGTTATCCTTGCCGGCTGGAGAGAGAGCATCACGCGGGCCGAGGAACAGCAGGGGCGCGTCCGTCTCGGCCGCACATGGTGGCTTTCTGTCTTTCTCTGGGCCCATTCGATCCTTCTCGGGGCTCACTTCCCCCGTCTCTGGAGTGAAAGCACCGGCCCAGATGCTACGTGGGGCACCTCGAGCTTGACGGAGCCACGGTTTCACGATCGGGGAGGCCGCTCCTTGACACCGGTTTCGCTTTCCTCGGAATCGAAGTGATTCTCAGGCTTAAACAAATGCGGTCG